CTGACAGGCCTGTAGTTACGGGTCACTTTTTTTCCCTTTCTTGAAAATAGGAACCACATTAGCTATTCTCCAGTCCAACGGTACCACCCCCGAGTTTAAAGATTCATTAAAAATCATCGCTAAGGGGCCTGCTATTTCTCGCGCCAGTTCCTTCAATATTCTTGGATGAAGATCATCCGGTCCGCCCGACTTAGTCCCGTTAAGGTGTTCAAGTTTGGTTTCTACCTCGGATACGGTAATCCCCCCTCCTGTATCCCCTTCTGTCACGCTGCCAATATTCCTAAGCCCTTCATTGGCCTCATTGAACACCGATGCAAAATATTCATTTAGATATTGTACCATGCCTAGATTACCCTTAATCTCCACTCCAGCTATAGTCTTCAGCGGTCCCACTTCTTCTTTCTTTGCTTTCTTCCTATTTATATGGCTATAAAACCTCTTACTATTGGTTTTAATTCCCCAATATGATTTAGATAATGACATAGAGAGTACACTTATAAAGTTTGCGGACGATAGCAAGCTGGGAGGGGTTGCAAGGGCTTTGGAGGATAGGATTAAAATTCAAAATGATCTGGAAAAACTGGAGAAATGGTCTGAAGTAAATAGGATGAAATTCAATAAGGACAAATGCAAAGTACTCCACTTAGGAAGGAACAATCAGTTGCACAAATACAAAATGGGAAATGACTGCGGAAAGGGATCTAGGGGAAGTGGACCACGAGCTAAATATGAGTCAACAGTGTAACGCTGTTACAAAAAAAGCAAACATCATTCTGGGATGTATAAGCAGGAGTATTGTAAGCAAGACACGAGAAGTAATTCTTCCGCTCTACTCCACGCTGATTAGGCCCCAACTGGAGTATTGTGTCAGGAAAGATGTGGACAAATTGGAGAAGGTCCAGAGAAGAGTGACAAAAATAATTAAAGGTCTAGAAAACATGACCTTTGAGGGAAGATTGAAAATCTGGGTTTGTTTAGTCTGGAAAAGAGAAGATAGAGGAGACATGATTACAGTTTTCAAGTACATAAAAGGTTGTTACAAGGAGGAGGGAGAAGAATTGTTCTTCTTAACCTCTGAGGCTAGGACAAGAAGCAATGGACTTAAATTGCAGCAAGGGCGGTTTAGGTTGGACATTAGGAAAATCTTCCTAACTGTCAGAGTGGTTATGCACTGGAATAAATTGCCCAGGGAGGTTGTGGAATCTTCATCGTTGGAGATTTTTAAGAGCAGGTTAGACAAACGCCTGTCAGATAATACTTAGTCCTGCCATGAGTGCAGGGGACTGGACTAGATGACCTCTCGAGGTCCCTTCCAGTCCTATGATTCTATGATTTTCACTAACTGCAGAAAACTGTGCCTGCTTGTGGATTCCCTTTGGATGTCGATGTCTGAGGAGGATGAGGATAAAGCATATTCTTTGTGTATAAAATTATTACAGTGATATTGATATACATTTAGGGTTTAAAATACAATTGAATTTCAGTTCGCTGAATCTACAGTATCTAAACTTCTCAGTCTACTGAACTGCCATCATGACTCCCTGGTCTATTGAAACCTGATTATGTGAACATAATCTTTTGAGTGGTTCAGATAATCGGGATTCTACTGTACCTTCGACACTTTTTTCAACACATTGAGTATTTAGAAAAATCACTTAAACTTTTATATTGAGGCAACCAAAAGGCAAATAGTTAATCTTAACCATCAGGTCTGATTTTGAATTGGGAGATTTTTGAATACAATGTTGCCTGGTGGGTAGAGCAATGGACTGGGGCTCAAGAGACCTCAGTTCTATTCTCTGCTCTGCCACTGGCCTACTGGGTGACCCTGGGCAAGTCGCAGCCCCTCTGTGCCTCAGTTTCCCCATTTGGATAATGGTAATAATTATACTTGTCTCCTTTATAAACCCCTTTGAGAATTACTGATGAAAAGCTCCATATAAGAACTAGGTGGTAGTTTTATTCTGCCTAAAAATGTTTGCTAGGCACAGTCCCCACTCCAAAGGGATTAAAACCAGATGAGCTGCAACAAGGGTGATGGTATTTCATACTGAGGTATTATTTATTCCAGAATGACACCCTTAGCATAGTATACGCTGTACTGGTTGAGGTACCATCTTTTGGATGAGACTTACAATAAGGTTCTGACTGCATTTGGTAATTAAAGATTTCACAGCATTCTACTGTAGGGTTGTTAACTTTGCTGTTTTGGCCCAGTTTCTACCATGGATAATTATGTTCTGCCTACTTCAATTCCTCATGCAGTTTTGGGATTTATATGGCATTTTCCACTTTTTGTTCTAAACTGTGAGAACGATACCTTTCATCCCAGAGGTGGTTACATTTCATTGACTAATTAAGTGAATTGGGATCCTTTAAAATGAAAGACATTATATAAGTGTAAGATTATTATCACTCAATCCAATAATCCATATAAAAATAAGATGAAAGGATTTGCACTGTATTATGAAAAGGCATTCATCGCTTTCTATATCTTTACGTTATAGCCCACTGATGATTATTACACAGAAGATAACAACTCTTGCATTCCAAGTGCACGATGGTAAGCAAACAAACCCTCTGATATCCTAAAGGCAGCACTTCCATTCCAGTCCACTGTCTTTAGTGGAGTTACCCCAGGGATGAATTTAGTTCACTGTGTTTCTCCAAGCAAGGAAGGGCAGTGCTTTCTGAAAAACAGACAGATTTTGCTGTATTTTTCCTGATTCTAAACCTTCTTTTTATAATAAAGATGCTTTATTATAAAAGCATCAGAGAAGATTACCTCCAGGGTATTGAAAATTACACTGGTTTGAAGTCCATGGGCCTAAGTCTGATCTCATTTAATATTTGTTTGACACCTGTGTAACTCCACAGACTTCCCTCAAGTTACCCTTGATTCTCGCTGATGTGAGATCAGAATCAGGCCCTAGGACTTAATATGTTCAGTCCTGAATCTGTGCGAGACCAAGGCATGAGTTTAAGGACTTGTCTATACAAACAAACAATTTGCGGCAAGCTGGGGTGTGAATCTACCCTGTGCTAGCCTGCTGCAGACTAACTGTCTGCATAGATTAGAAGTCTGCTCGAGCCTAATTTTTAGGTCTGACCCTGACCCGAACTGGGTCCATCCCTACCTGACCCAAGTCTCTTTGACACTGCTAGAGTCACAAATGGCATCATTTTCCAGAAAGATGCCTGCCTCCAGTACAATAAAAGGCTCAAACATTGAAATTGTAATTAGTGGTGGTGGTGTTTATTTCTATAGCGGTTAGGGTTGCCAACTTTCTGATTGCAGAAAACCGAATACCCTTGCCCTGCCCCACCCTTCCCTGAGGCCCTGCCCCGCCCCTTCTCCAAGGCCCCACCCACTCCATTCCCCCTCCCTCCCTCACTCGCTCTCCCTCACCCTTGCTCATTTTCACTAGGCTGGGGCAAGGGGTGAGGGTGCAGAAGGGGGTGAGGGCTCCGGCTGGGGGTGCGGGTTCTGGGGTGGGGCTGGGGATGAGGGGTGTGGTATGCAGGAGGGGCTCTGGTCTGGGGGTGGGGCTGAGGGATTCAGAGTGTGGGAGGAGGCTTTGGGCTGGGGCAGGGGGTTGGGGTGTGTGTGGGGGGTGAGGGCTCCTGCTGGGGGTGTGGGCTCTGAGGTGGGGCCAGGGATGAGAGGTTTGGGGTGCAGGAGGGGACTCTGGGCTGGGGCAGGGAGTTGGAGTGTGGGAGGGGGTGTGGGAGAGGACTCAGGGCTGGGGCAGGGGGTTGGGGTGCAGGAGGGGGTGACGCATGCGGGCACCAGGCAACACTTATTTTAGGCGGCTCCCAGAAGCAGCCAGCATGTCCCTGCGGCCCCTAGGCAGAGGCACAGCCAAGCGGCTCTGCATGCTGCTCAAGCCCGCAGCGCCCATTGGCTGAAGTTCGGGGTGGGGACAGCGTGCGGAGCCTCCCTAGCCGGCCCTGAGCCTAGAGGCTGCAGAGACATGCTGGGTGCTTCCAGGAGCTGCAGGGAGCTTGCCTTAGCTTTGCTGCGCCACTGACTGGACTTTTAATGGCCCGGTCAGCGGTGCTGACCGGAGCCGCCAGGGTCCCTTTTTGACCGGGCGTTACGGTCGAAAACCTGATGCCTGGCAATCCTTCCTGGGGACTCCACGCAGGGATCTGAGCCCCATTGCGCTAAGCACTGTACAAACAAATAACACAGAGACAGTCTGCTTCAGAGAGAGTAGTAATCTAGGGTTTAGGTAATATCCAACAGGTGTAAATAAACAGACACGTGAGGGGGGAAGACATGGTAACAGCAGAGACGGATGCATTTGAAATTAATCTTTTTAAAACTCCTACAGATTAATTGTAGTGGTAACTGCTTATTACCTTACAAACTTTCATACTAGTGGAGTGGATAAAATGGATGCAGTTTCCATTTTCAAGCAGTTGTGACTTTATCTAGAAAATACGTACAACTCCCTTCCAAATGAAACCAACCCTGCCCCCAACCCCAAAGGAAAAAAAGAGGTTAAATATGCTGGTGCAGCCATGATGGGTGTGCACATAAATATATCAGTGTTTGTTGTTAAATGCATGCTATGAAATATACAGGCTGTACAGTGTTACATAGTTAATGTTAATATGATAACCTTAACTTTTGCATTTGAGTGTTCAAAATAACATAATGTGAATTTAAAATCTCCAATAACTGCCTACAGCATATAACCTTTGATCTTGGGATAGTTTTCTGCAGTTATTTTTGGAAGAGTCTAATTTGATTTTATCATGTCATGCCTATTATTTATTCTTGCTAGGAATAGGCCGACAAGCTGAGGACCTCACTGCTGAGCAAAATCGTCTTGCCGTAAAGTAAGAATTTACTTCTCCCATTCAGTGTGTCTTTAACCTCATATAAGTAATAGTGGTCTGTGGGGTTTTTAATTCCTCCCTGACTCATTACCAGGAGTCAGATTTTCCCCAATCATGTACGACTTTTAAAAAAAAATTGTTGTTAATGTAGGTACTGCCTGCAATCCACCCAGTGCCAAAGGTAGATGCTTTAATACTCATTAAGGTAATTCTTTTTGTGATGTTCATGTCCCAACCACCCACACATGAGTTCTTCATTTCCCCGCGACTGAACCATATACCAAGAGAGCCCTCATTTCTCCAAGGCTGGGTTTAGACCCTGATTCAGCAAAGTACTTAAGCACATGCTTAAATCCCATTAACTTTAATGGGTGCCTGAAGTGCAGCAACTGCTTATGTGCTTTGCCGAACCAGGCCCTTTAATAAAGTTGTGCTACTTGGATCTTCAGGCTTTTATCTACCCTTTCATTGTGGTCTGCTATCTTTCACATTAGAATACTCCCTTCCCCCCCCTCACCATCAATAGCTACATCAAAGCACTAATCCATGTTAAAACAGCAAGGATGAAGTTTGCTTCTGACACTTCAAATGCTGCTGGGGTTTTTTTTAAACCTACTACCAGCAGTTTCTGGACACTTATGCATGTTTCTCCTCCATCTCTTCATCTTCCAAGTACAAACTTTGATACTACAGATTTGACTGTTTACCAAAAGAAAACGGATGCTGCTTATCTATTACAAGCATTTCTCCCCTCCCCCCATCTTGTTTTAATTCCACTCTAATTGTGGAATGAAAGCGAAATCTTTTTTGAATAGGCTGAAAGTTACAGCAGTAACTAACTTTGATCCTTGTGCTTAATACATTTCAAACTTTGCTTAGGGGCAAAATAATTAGTTCCTCAGTTTTCAAGGTTTAACTGTGAGCCATTGGAAAATTTACCTAATTATTAGATGATGGAACTATGATTGTCATCTCTTGAAAAATGAAAGTTTGTAGGGAGGTTTATATAACATTTCTACAGTAACCCGTTGCTTTGTGTCTCCATTTATCATTTAGTATACAGCTGGCTTTAAAAATGTAGAGTACTCATAATTGAGGTTCTGTTGTATGTAAAGTTTTAAATATACTCTGAATAATAATAATTCATGGAACTGGCAAATAGTATGTTACACAGTCTAATTCAAAAACTTATCAAAAGTACCCATGACATTTTTTTTTATATTTTACCTTGTTCTGTTTTGTGTGTGGATGTTTTGACAGAATAAGACCTTCCTTACTGGAATATTTGAGCTATCTCCTCAATTTTATGAGTGTCATAGCTGGACCTTGCAGCAATTACAAGGACTATATAGCCTTCATTGAAGGGAGGCATGTGCATATGAAACTTTTAGAAGTGAACTGGAAGCAAAAGGGTTATGACAGACTTCCCGATCCTTCTCCAACTGTAAGTTGTGAAAAGCCAAGTATTTATTGCAAAGGGCTAGAGAATACTGCTTTGCATGTCTGACTTCTATAACTGCACCTAGTTTAAAACCAAACAAGGAAAACTGCTTGAGGTATTGTGCCAGAAAATATAACTGTTTTCTGCTGTTTGTGTTGATAACAAAGCTAGGGGGAAGAGGGTTGGCATCATCCCTTTGTTCAGAAGAGCACATAGTAGCTCGTTGGTTGGTGAACATCATATGTGCAAGTCTCTCCGTTCACAGTGGGAACATACTATAGATTCTGATTATTATGAATTGTAATTCGGACTTAGACAAAAGAGAGAACATTTTACAAAAGAGAAAAGCTGAAAAAACTATTGTACTGTAGAGGACATGTTGGAAGCAGGAATCATAATTGATTAATTACAGTAAGTTGCCCAGATGCATTTCAAGGAAACCTGGTGACTGTCTTAAAATATCTTTGAAGCCATCTTTTAAATCTGAAAAAGATAAATCCATTGCAAGGACTTTATAATTTTTGTTTTATATTATTAAATATTAACTGGATACTCCCTCAAGTGGCATTCATGTATTGCAGAAAAATGCATGGGCCAGATTCCGACGTTACATTGGAGTGACTCTGGATTTATACCTTTGTAACTGACTGAGAGCAGAATTTGGTTCTGCATATTCTCTCTGTAACGTGGAATATGTATATATACAGGGCGTCATCCTGATCTCTCACTGTTGTAATCTGCTGACAGTGTAAGTGAAGTCAGAATCAGGCCCACATTGTGTCACTTGCATAAATTATATATGTGTAGTATAGAAAAATTAGTATTTTTCTTTAAAAAGTTAAGCTTTAAAATGACATTATGCATTTAAGTTTTACTGTATAGGGAGTGCATGTAAAAAAAAAGTATTTAAGAGCTAAAAGTGAGTTAGTTACATCAGTGTTTAAATAATAATGGTATATTGTTTTTTATTCTCCTGATATTAGGAGTCTACTCTTACGGATTCACCTATTTGCAATATGAATGTATGAATGAATCTGTTTACTCACAATGGATATGTGAAAGCCAGTTACAAAGCATTCACATAGCTTACACCTATAATTCTGATTTCTGGAGTGCTAGGGCACTAACTACACATTTTTAAAAATATATATTTGCTAGGTTAGGTGCAGGACAGTATCTGTCTAAGTCATTTTGAGAGGCACTTTCAGACACCTTGATGGGAGTGATGGAAGAACCTAGATATATAACAATCTAATTGTACTGGAAATCAGAATATTTGGTGCTTCAAGCAGGAATCCAATAATAAGTTCCTGTGCTTAACTGCACAGATAGGGAAACTCTCTGTTTCCCATCTTATTTCTCTGTCCTCTTCAGGGCACTTCCAGCAGATCATGTACAGTGCTTAGGTGAAAGAACATGACCCATTTTGGTTCTGAATAATTCTTTAATTTCTATTTGTAAGTATAATTAGTAAAATATGTTAAAGCCAACTTTGCATGGCTTTCACTGATTCATTATACCAGCTGGTCCTTGTTACAAATTAATTATGAGGAAAAGGAAGCTGTTATTAGCTGTTACCAGTCTTGTTGGGTCTTTAGTCAATTTATTTTTGTAAGTGGGAAGCATTATTTTGCTTTTAGTCTATTCTGATAAATTATCACATCAATGTTTTATTATTCATTATGCTTTTCAGGGGACTGTGATATACAAACTGTGTATCACATTTGTATCTCTCCTTTTGTTCTTGACACTTACCAAGACCTATCCTGTTACATACATTGTTGATAGCCAGTTTATCAATAACACATCCTTCTTGTCAAGACTTGGCTACCTGTATATCGTTATGCAAGCATCGAAGCCAAAATATTACTTTGCATGGACATTAGGTAAGGATGACTAAATGGCTTATTTTGTGTCCAAAGAAATTTAATACATAAACAGTGGGGTGTATGAAATTGTCATAAAACAATTTTTTAAAATTTGGGGCCCAATCCTGAAATTCCCACAGCACCCTTGCATCTGTGCAGAGCCCCACTGAAACCAGTGTGGGTGGAGCAGTCTGTCTGTGCGCTGCCAGTTGCAGAAGGAAAGAGATTTGGTGTGCTATGGGTATATTGACTATAAATCTCAAAAGGACACTGTCAAATAGTGTAGGCCAGACGTTTGATCTACTTTAAAACTGTTGTCAATTGGCAGCAAATGTCCCCTCCTCCCCCATACCTGGGGGCAGATCCTCAGCTGATGTCTATTTTAGTTCCATTGAACTCAGTGAGGAGTATGTAGCCTCTGGAATCTAGATGTGTAATATAATTGGTGTGAGTATGGGTATGGGTATGTAACACTTTCCCCTTACACCTGGACCTTGTTAATTGTACCTAAATTACTTTTATTGGTATTCTTAATACTTTAAGAAGAAAAGATTGTATCCTTTGTGCCATGATTGTATTCCCTGGTCCCAATCCTGTACTGCTCTGGTGCAGATGGGTCTAGCAGGAGGGTCTCTGCCAATTGAAGTCACTAAAAACAGGATTGGGGACTTCAACAGCAGAGTCCAGGGAAGGGGTAGGGACGGTTTTATGGCCTACAGCATGCAGGGGGTCAGACCAGATGATCATAATGGTCCCTTCTGACCTTAAAGTCTATGAGTCTATGAGATGGGGGCTCATGGAGCCTGTGATCACCCTGGTAGTTACAAAGCCATTGTAGATGTGAACCAGCCTATCCAAAGCTGTGGGAATCGCTGTACAACCATTCTTAGGATGGTCTATAACTAGAAAGTTGTCCCGCTTTAACTATGCTAGGGAATAGGCTATGCCAGCATAAGGTGCCTTTATACCAGTATAACTGCATCCATATTAGGGGTTGTACTGGTATGACTATATTGCTAAAAAATCATACCTCTAACTGCCAATTATACTGGTACAAAATCTCTATGTGGACCTAGCCTCATTCAGTCCCCATCTCCTGTGGGTGACAATCCTACACCCTTACTTGCAAGGGAGAAAGGGAAGCAGGGTGTGGGCAGAGATAAGGATGGTCAGGAGTGGGCTAATTGACCTCTAACCCTGCCCTCCCCATTCACTTGGGTACAGAGCAGCCATAAGGCAGAAAAAGAGTTCCGTCTGCTATACTGAAGAGATAGCTCACCTGCATAGGATGAGGAGTAGCACTGTCAGCTGCTCAGGTGTAAAACTCCCTGGCTAATCAGTCTTGTAAAATTCTTCTCATCCACTCACCTGAAGCAAGCAACTTTTCCTGGCCAAATAAAGTTGTTACATTATCAACAGTCATTGCTATGAAAACAGATAGCCATTGCTATGATAATGGATAGTCAAGGGCTTTGGCTGGTCATAAATGTTAATAGAGTTGAACCTCAGAGTTATGAACACCTCGGAAGTGGAGGTTGTTCATAACTCTGAAATGTTGTAACTCTGAACAAAACATTATGGTTCTTTCAAAAGTTTAAAACTGAACATTGACTTAATACAGCTTTAAAACTTTACTGTGCATAAGAAAAATGCTGCTTTTAACCATCTTAATTTAAATGAAACAAGCACCGAAACAGTTTCCTTATATTGTCAAATCTTTTTTTTACACTTTCCCTTTTTTTTTTGTAGTTTATTTTTAACACAGTACTGTACTGTATTAGCTCTTTTTTTTTTTTTGGTCTCTTCTTCTGCCTGATTGCGTACTTCCAGTTCCAAATGAGGTGTGTGGTTGACCAGTCAGTAGTAATTCTGGTGTTCGTAACTATGACATTCTACTTGTAACAATTTTGCAAGGCTATCTTCAATGTATTTCTTGCAATTTTGTCTTTATTAAGAGAAAATTCAGCAAAGAGGGAAATCTCAGGTAACACTGAGAGAAGGAAATAATAGGGGCAAACAATAGCTGCGAGACAGTATCTGAACACACTTGCAAACCTTGAGTGGCTTTTAGTATGTAGCTACTCTAAACATCAAAAAATACAAGGCTTTTAAGAAACTCGCTGTGTTACTAGTAACACCTTAAGTTGTTATATTGGAAAGCATTTAATACAATTTACTTTCCAACAATTAGGGTGAGGAGGATTGATCCTGTAGGTCAGGCATTGAATTTGGACTCAAGAGGACTCTGTTCCCAGCTCTACTTGAGACTTCTTGTATAAGCTTGAGCAAGTCACTCGTGATTATTCAGAAGGTTGAGACCCATTGTCTGCATGTGTTTGTGCACACCAGTTGTTACTATAAATTGGGCATTTGCTTGCCCTGGTGCATATTTAGACCAATTTTTGCAGCCAAAGAATTTGTACAGACCTTGGTCTTCAACCTTTTAAAAATCAATCTCTTATTACTGTGGCTACATTTCCTTATATGTAAAAGTGGGGATCATATTCTTGTCCACCTCACACCAGTGTTTGGAGGCTAAATTAATTAGCTGAAATGAAGCTCACTGAGATACTCAGATGGAAAGAACTTTATAAGTTGAAAGCATCCTTACTGTTTCACTACTAAATTGTCCCCCCTCCCCCGCCACTTTACTCTTGGATAATGAAAATAGACCATTTGTTTTTGCTTGTTCTTTTACAACCTTATTTCAGTGCTACCCTATTGAAGAGCAAACACAGCTAGGGCATGTTTGAAACCAAACCATATTTCCAATGATATTCTAAAAGGAAATAAAAAACAGTTATATTAAATTTTATGTAAACTGCCCACAGAAGACCCCCCCTTCCAATTCACGCACCTAAAATTGTTTCCTTTAACAAAACCTAAATTTTGGTTCTAAACCACATACTACTTCCTTCTATTAAATGACATTAGCCTTCAGGACTATTGGGCAGATCCCAGGCAGAGTAAAAGCAAAGGGATTTTCTGACTGTTCACCCAAGAAAAGTAGCCTGTGTTGCAAAATATTAGAATAACCCTCATATCCCAGTGCAGCAATGTAAACACCATTATATTGAGATCACTGTATACCAAGTCATTGAATTTATTGATAGTTAAACCTTTTAAGACAATTCTTATTGAGTGAGAACTTGAAATAAGGGTTCTTATTTTCCCCCTGAAAAATGGATACTATCTTTCTCCGTGTTTTGGATATAAACAACCTCCTTTTCAGCAGCATTGACTAGAACAACAGCTCCCAAGTGGGACTGATGTCAGTTAGTGGGTTTCATTCTCAGCTTCTAGTGGGCCACAGGAAGAGCACAGACAAGATCTTTCAGTGTTGCTACTAGGTATATATGTGGAAATGAGGCAAGACACACACAAAGGAAACATGGGATGGTTGAAAGGATGTATAATGGTGTGGGGAGAGGGAGGGATGAAATCTTAGGAGGAGATAGGGGGATCTAAAACACTTCTGTAAGGAAAGGGAGAATCAGACATTCACAGAAGGGAGCAGGCCAGAGAGGCCTATAAAAAAGAAAGTAGTAAATGGCTTGGATTTTAGGGTGGGGAATGTGTTTCTTTGGCTATCAATTTATTTAATATTGAGAGTTAATTTGATTGGTGTCTAAAAATAACTTCAAACTAACACTCCGTTGCCCCCATCCCCATATATACTTTTCTTTAATCTTCTTCATTTGTGTGTCAGAGGAGATCCCTTGGCAGGCTATGGAAGGGTGAGAAAGACTGTGTTTGCTGAATAGAGAAGATCACCAAGATCTGCTACACAGAGGCACAGATACCTGGAAATTGGAGAGGAGCATCATGGAAGGGGATAGAAAGGGGACTGTGAGCATTCAGATTAAGGCAGTGATAAAGTGCATATAAAGTGAAAATAATAAGTGGAAGAAAACAGTTGGGATTGGTATATGTGAAATAGAAATGGCTTTGGGATAATAAATCATTCAGAGAAATAATTTATTTTAGTTGGATATAGGTTTAGGTTATTAGAAAGCTGGAAAATGTGGGTATAAAGTAGAAACATTATTAGAGAGAGAAACTGCCTTTGGATTTATGACGTGACTTAATCTTGGAGACTGTGGAAAGATCTTGTAAGTGAGTTTTGGGAAAGCATGCTCTGTCTAGTGGTGGGCGAGGCTTCTTTTATCTATGTTGCAGATCCAAGCAACAAAATGGCGTGATTCCTCCCCACCCTTTTAGTTAAGCTGTCCGTTGTGTGGAATAGGGCATTATATAATCATTTAATAAAACTGCCGATAAGCAGTTGCTGTTTCCAGAAAAGGACAGTCATGCTATTGTGTGAGGCACACTGCAGAATTCCTCCAGATTCATGAAAAGATAGAAAATTCAAGCATTCTGGTTGGTAGCATTAAACACTGGAACTTAGCTGTAAACTTGACTAAGGCTTAAAATACTTATTAGTAAAAACCATTTAGACCTGAATTCCACAATCTGATAGATGGGGTTTATCCCACATAAGCAACTAACCAAATAGGGTTAAATTCTGGCCCCGCTAAAGTTAATGACAAACCTCCAATTAGACTTCAGTAGGTCCAGGATTTTACCAGTAATTTGAGAACTGAAAGCTGGCAATTCTTCTGCACTCCAGAGTACTTTATGCTGCATCCAAACCACTTTTTCATTGGGGCTAACAGACCTGTTTTAATATTACACACTGGAATGCAGGTTTTGTCCACCTTTGCCTTTAATTAGGTGGTGCAGCCTGTGGAGACTAAAAGTCTCAGCATTCTGTTGAGATCAAGAAGTAGCAGAGCAGTTTGAAGTGTATGTGTGGGAGTTGATTCCATACTGCATGGTGCACAGTTCTTCAAGGGGTTCTCTTGCTGCAGCATAGAGGGCAGGATAGGGCCAGAAGATTTATGCCTGTACAGATCCTCCAGTTCTTGGCTCTGTGAATATATTGGCAGCAAAGAGGCTACTTCAGCCATTGTCTACAGCCATGTCCACTCCACAGCCTGTGGAGGGACATTTTTGACCTTCCTGCAGACATACTTAACACACCTGGGCTGGCTGTTGCGTCTCACGATTTGGGCCTATGGTACTGTAGCATGCAGAAAGCCCGAACAGTAGTAGGATAGAAGGGACTAAATATAAATTTTCTTATTTAGTTCTAGCAATCTGGCACCAGCGGTTAGCACTTGTTATTGATCTAGTAGCAGACACTTTCTTGTTCAATAAAAAGTATAACAACAAGCAGGGTTGTTTTTAGATTGTTAGGATCAGAAATCAAGCCTCTATTTCCAGCAGCTTGTCAGTGAAGTGGAAGGTTAAGAGAAAGGTCCATATTTTTCTGGTTAGAATACTGCTTTTAGATTAGACTGCATCCCTGAGTTGTACTTCAGGGTTATCCCTGAATTTGTACCTAATCTCAGAACACTTTGTAAGAGAGACCAAGACCAATTTTGAATCCCGAGACACAAATGCTGACTTCATTTAATAAAAATGAAAAGCTCAGCTTTATCTTCAGTTTTCTTGATCAGACTTGTCATTTATAATGGAACTAGACTGAAAAATCTAGCAGTGTTTATACTTTCATTTTTTTCCTTCCAATATTTATAGGCTTGGCTGTATTTAGAGACCTAGAGGTAATGAGTCCCTCCTGTCTTCTCAGTATGCACAGAGAAAGGGCTTTTGACAGAGGCAGATTAAAAGCAGGATCCTTGAAATCCAGACCCAATTATCAGAGGGGTTCCAGAGCAAGACAGAACCCTGATTGGCTCTGTGGGAAAGAATGCAGCGAGAGCTGCGGCCCATGGAATTCCACTGGGCTTACTGAATAAGGAAGAACAAAGAGTCTTCTAGGAAGAGCATAGTGTGTGAAAATGGGCCGGGTGAGTGTCCAACCTGACATGAACCAGGCCTCCATTTTTGCTCTTGCAATTATTTGCCCCTGCAATGTAAGTTATTTGTACATCTCAGTATTGGATGTGCAGAGACAGTCTGGTATTAAGTGAGTTGTGAGATCAGCACGGAACTTTGTACATGGGGTGTTCAAAAGTCATCGCTAAAACTTAACGTTGACTAAATCTTAATAAAAAACAGAAACTTGAATTTGAGACACGGCAGTATTTCCCCCCACAAGTACAAGGAACTAGCGCAGTATCACAGATACAACCATGTGGCAAATATTGATACATTTTAATTAGGGCTGTCGATTAATCGCAGTGAACTCACACGATTAACTCAAAAAAAGTAATCGCGATTAAAAAAATTAATCATGATTTAAATCGCACTGTTAAACAATAGAATACCAATTGAAAATTATTAACTATTTTGGATGTTTGTATACATTTTCAAATATAGTGATTTCAATTACAACATAGAATTCAAAGTGTATAGTGCTCACTTTATATTATGTTTACTACAAATAGTTGCACTGTAAAAATGATAAACAAAAGAAATAGTATTTTTCAGTTCACCTCATACAAGTACTGTAGTGCAATCTCTGTCATGAAAGTGCAACTTACAAAAGTAGATTTTTTTGTTTGTTACATAACTGCACTCAAAAACAAAACAAGGTCAAACTTTAGAGCCTACAAGTCTACTCAGTCCTACTTCTTGTTCAGCCAATCGCTCAGACAAACAAGTTTGTTTACATGTGTAGGAGATAATGCTGCCCAATTCTTGTTTACCTGAAAGTGAGAACAGGCGTTTGCGTGGCACTTTTGTAGCCAGCATCGCAAGATATTTACATGCCAGATATGCTAAACATTCGTATGCCCCTTCATGCTTTGGCCCATTCTGGAGGACATGCTTCCATGCTGATGCACTCATTAAAAAATATGTTAATTAAATTTGTGACTGAACTACTTGGGGGAGAATAGTATGTCTCCTGCTTTGTGTATTACCCACATTCTGCCATATATTTCATGTTATAACAGTCTCGGATAATGACCCAGCATGTTGTTCGTTTTAAGAACACTTTCACTGCAGATTTGACAAAACACAAAGAAGGTAACAATGTGAGATTTCTAGAGATAGCTATAGCACTCGACCCCAGGTTTAAGAATCTGAAGAGCCTTCCAAAATCTGAGAGGGACGAGGTGTGGAGCATGTTTTCAGAAGTCTTAAAAAATCAACACTCCGATGCAGAAACTACAGAACCCGAACCACCAAAAAAGAAAATCAACCTTCTGCTGGTGGCATCTGACTCAGAGGATGACAACGAACATGCATTAGTCCACACTGCTTTGGATCGTTATTGAGCAGAACCCATCATCAGCATGGACGCATGTCCTCTGGAATGGTGGTTGAAGCATAAAGGGAAATATGAATCTTTAGTGCATCTGGCACATAAATATCGTGCGCCGCCAGCTACAACAGTGCCATGCAAATACCTGTTCTCACTTTCGGGTGACATAAACAAGAATTGGGCAGCATTATCTCCTGCACATATAAACAAACTTGTTTGTCTGAGCGATTGGCTGAACAAGAAGTAGGACTGAGTAGACTTGTAGGCTCTATAGTTTGACATTCTTTTATTTTTGAATGCAGTTATTTTTTGTGCATAATTCTACATTTGTAAGTTCAACTTTCATGATAAAGAGATTGCACAACAGTACTTGTATTAAGTGAATTGAAAAATACTATTTCTTTTATTTTTACAGTGCAAATATTTATAATAAAAATAAATATAAAGTGAGTACTGTATACTTTGTATTCTGTGTTGAAATTGAAATCAATATATTTGAAAATGTGGAGAACATCCAGAAATATTTAAATAAATGGTATTCTATTGTTTAACAGTGCAATTAATCACGATTAATTTTTTTAATCACTTGACAGCCCTAATTTTAATGCAACCATGTTATATGTATGTTTTAGTTTCATAATGATTAGAAAAACCCTTTCTGTTCATTGTCCTTTACTAGATTTTTTTTCCACCCTAAGAGTTTTCTTATTATTGTTTATTGAACATTATCATTGTGTTCAGTGTCCTTCAGACATGTAAAAAAAAATGACGCCTGCCACAGTCTAATTTGAATCCTTTGTGTTGATGTTACAGCTGACGCGATCAATAATGCAGCTGGCTATGGATTCAGTGGTGTTGATGATCAAGGCAATTTTCATTGGGACCTGCTATCCAACTTAAATATATGGAACATTGAGGTGAGTTAAAAGAAACAAAATCTTGGTATAATTATGGAGTGACGATTATGATGTGGTTCATTAGTAACAGGGATACATTTTTCTCTTCCAAAGGTGTGTCTAGAATTAGAGTGAGTTTTATCTTTTGGACAGATAAATTGTATTGGTCACACTTCATAGGAAGGTTACATTTGTAAATAGTTTCTAAAGAGCTAATAAACATTGTTTTAATAAACTATTAATTATTGTTGAGTTCAACAGGTCAATAGATTGCTTACAACAGTGATTCATAACCATGATAGCATCTTCTATTTATGTGCTTATAACAATCTGTTATTACTCTTTTTAGTATTTGTATGGCAATAGCAGGTAGAGGACCCACCTGAGATTAGGGCTTGTCTGTGCTAGGTGATGTACAAATACACAGTAAGAGACAGTCCAGGCCCCAAAGAGCATATGTTCTAAATGGAAAAGACAGACAAAAGGCAGAAGAGGAAACAGGTATAGAACAGTGAGGTGACCTGTCCAAAGTCACAGAATATGTCAGTGACAGAGCCAGAAATAGAATTAAGAGTTACTCCTAGCTCAGTTCCCTATCCATTAGACCACACTTTTTCTCAGAACATCTGTAACATATTCCTCATGCCAGTGGCATGCTTTTAGCATCCTTTAGTCCCTTACAAAATATTTATAAAGGTACCTTTACTATAAAGTGTGACCAACATATTTCCTGTTAGTTTGTTGCCTAAGATAAATATCTTCTGAGTGCCAATGGCATGAGAAAATGTCTAGGAGACTGGAGTAGGCCATTCTCAATTTCTTCTTCTACGGATTTATTTTTATACAATAACAGGAGCTCTCCACCTACAATCCATTATTTATTATTTTAGAAGGAAAGCAAAGGAAACCAATGAGTTAACTGCATTGTAGCTTAGTGGTCTATCAAAAGACAGATTTTGGTAATTCATCTCTAAATTTTAGGGGCCCCTATAATTCTCAGTGGAAAAGTTGAGACCATCACTATACCCTCTCCCTTTCATCTTCCCTTATTTGTGCTTGTCTTAACCCTTGCCCGAGCTTGCATCTGTCATTCTTGGAGTGTTTTTCCTTGCTCCTTTTTTGCAGCATCCACAGTGGGTGCACAGCTCAAGTCTAGAAGCACTTGCAGCCAACTGCAGATGGAAATGCACTCAGCTTCCCCCTTTGCTCCCGGACTTGAGGGGGGAATCTAAAATAGATTGAAAACAGGAATGGGAGTGCTCACTGTACCACTCAGAGAGGAGGGGGAGTTGGGGAGGAATGTCGCTAAGCCGAGAGAAGCTGTGAGTTCCTCAGTACTTTAACCCATTCTCCTATCCTGTAGACCTCATTCACCCTTTCCCTCTCTGGGACATATGGGCTGCAGGGGGAGGGGCTGGAAAGGGGATTTCTTTGGCAGCATAGGAGCAATGAGGCCATATCAGCCCCAGGACCCTTGTGATGCCACAGGGTATCATTTCCATTTTGAACTTCCCTTTGAACTGGTGCTGTGTGGTCCAGCTTTCCTTATGGAGAACACTCCTCTAACAGCACAACCTGTCGGAAGAGTTCCATGGAGAGGCCCTAGTGGATGGAGGGAGGTATGAAATGATGGGAGGCCATAAGGCTCATTTTTTCCCCCCAGAGTGGGGCAGGCTGGGTTAAATATTAAACGGACCAATGGGATTGTGGTTTATGACAAAATTTTAAAAGGCTAATTTTTTATAAGCTGGTGACCTGGGCAGTACATGTCAAATAGTAAGAGCCACTTACGTGCATAAAGCACTTCTGCATTTGAACCGATTGCTAAATGTGGCTGCTGTTGCACCATTTGGTCATGGCCAGGTGAAAATACACTCAGTGCAGGTAGCAGACTGTCAATTAGGAAGTGTTGTGAAGTCTTAGGCACAATGAAAGAGTAAGTATGTGTGGAAGGCATCAAAGATTTGAGGTAACTTCATCATTGATCCTCTCTATGGTCTGCCCAAAGAATGCCCTCTCAGGGCTCGGGTGTAGCCAGAACATCTCTCTCAGCAGGAGCCCACATCCGTCTCCCTTCTGACCAGTGATTTTAGGCTAGCAGCCCCCTTGCAGTCACTGGGATTCTCTCCAGCAGGTCTGACCAAAAGTCCAGCCTCCTCACTTGCTTTCTCTCCAAAGGATATGGCCAGGGATTATATGTTGCAGATGGAGCCTTCACAGCAGAGTACATTTATTTAAGGATGAAAACATAAAAAGGTCTAATGCATACTAAGTGTACCCAGGAGGAGTCTGGAAGATCAGAATCTTTCCAATCCTTCAGCAGGGCAGGGTCCCCTTTGGACAAAAGGCTCGTGTCTGTTTGCTGAATCAAAAACAAGGCTCTTCTGTCAGGATAAACTCAGCCTTTTACATCAAAGGCCCTTTCTGTGTCTCCTTGCCTCTGGCACCTGTCTGAACCAGTATATGCAAACCACCCCAGGGGGTGGTATTTCTCTGGAGCTGTTTATAGTCCCAAGAATTGCAGTAATTATGGCCCAGTGGTTTTAGTTTCTGGAGGAGCTTTTGTAACCTTCCTGCATGGAGTGGAGTACACTCCCTAGCTCACAATGATCCATATAACCTTCACGAAGTTAATACAGTAGTCCCCAAAAGATACTGCACGTGACTGCAATATCTGTAACAGAAGGTGTCAAGGCTGCTTCCCCACTCTGAACTTTAGGGTACAAATGTGGGGGCCTGCATGAAACTTCTAAGCTTAACTACCAGATTAGATCTGGTCCGCTGCCACCACTCCCAAAGTGCTAATTCCTTTCCCTGGGAAGCCTTGAGAGACTCTTCACCAATTCCCTGGTGAATACAGCTCCAAACCCCTTGGATCTTAAAACATGGAGAAATTAACCATCCCTCCTCCTTTCTCCCACCAACTCCTGGTGGATCAAGATCCGACCCCCTTGGATCTAAAAACAAGGAAAAATCAATCAGGTTCTTAAAAAGAAGGCTTTTAATTAAAGAAAAAGGTAAAAATCATCTCTGTAAAATCAGGATGGGAAATAACTTTACAGAGTAATCAAACTTAAAGAGCCCAGAGGATCCCCCTCTAGCCTTAGGTTCAAAGTTACAGCAAACAGAGGTAAACACCCTAGTAAAAAGGTACATTTACAAGTTGAGAAAACAAAGATAAAAACTAACACGCCTTGCCTGGCTGTTTATTTACAAGTTTGAAATATGAGAGACTTGTTCAGAAAGATTTGGAGAGCCTGGATTGATGTCTGGTCCCTCCTAGTCCCAAGAGCGAACAACCCCAAACCAAAGAGCACAAACAAAAGCCTTCCCCCCACCAAGATTTGAAATTATCATGTCCCCTTATTGGTCCTTTGGGTCAGGTGTCCGCCAGGTTACCTGAGCTTCTTAACCCTTTACAGGTAAAAGGATTTTGGAGTCTCTGGCCAGGAGGGATTTTATAGTATTGTACACAGGAGGGCTGTTACCCTTCCCTTTATAGTTATGACAGAAGGTTTGAGGAGAACCCTGCCAGAGAGCATTCCATTTTGACAACCAGCTTGACTGGCTGCTCTCTTGGAAACACAGAGGGGAAAAAAATCAATGCTTGCCAAGTAAAAAAGGACAACATTGATAGAAACAAGGAAATACAGCTCCTTTCTCTAACTGATACTATAATGCAATTAAGTTGTGTTTCTCAGTTAGGGTTATTTTAATGTAACCCTTAAAACACTAATGAAGATTGTTCTAACCTCCAGTATTTTGGACTGAGGATCAAAAGCACTCAAGTACTCCTTTTTGGCCCCTCTCCTGCCCTACTCCAGTTCACACTTCCCTTGGCTCTCTTAGAAGACCTTGTGAGCTTTGGAAGAGCCCTTTGACCTTCTACTGGCATTGGTACAACTGCTGCTGGAATACTGTGTCCATTTCTGGTACCCACAATTCAAGCAGGGTGTTGATAAATTGGAGAGGGTTCAAAGAAGAGCCACAAGAATGATTAAAGGTTTAAAAAACATACCTTCCAGGGATAGACTTAAAGAGATCAATCTATTTAGCATAACAAAGCGAAGGTTAAGGGGTGACTTCATTACAGTCTATAAGTATCTACATGGGGAACAAATATTTAACAATGGGCTCTTCAGTCTAGTAGAGAAAGGTATAACATGCTCCATGGCTGGAAATTGAAGCTAGACAAGCTGAGGCTGAAAATAAGGCATACATTTTTACAGTGAGGGTACTTAACCATTGGAACAGTTTACCAGGGGCATGGTAGATTCTTCATCACTGACAATTTTTAAATCAAGACTGGATGTTTTTCTAAAAGTATGGAGTCCAGCTCCTCAGAAGCTTCTTGTCTCAGATAACAAGCAGAGGACAAGTGGGGCCAGGGCATGTGCAGAGGTGGAACTGAGCAGGGCTAGAGGATCTGCTATTGGAGGGAACCCTGTGGTCCTCCAACCATGAGAGTGGCACACGGCTTACTGAGTCAACAGGTTGAAGTAGTCACTGCAGAGTGGTTATGTAACTGCTCTGTGGGCTTGCCTCCCCTTTCCCCATTGGTATCTCCCTACGGCCCAGCTCAGTTTCTCAAGCTGCACTCTGGGCTGAAGATTTGGCCCTAAGTTCATGTACTAAAAATACTTTCCATTGTTTCTTGAGAGCAAGTTCATTTACCTGTCCCTCTGCCCCCAATAATGCATTTCTTTTAGAAACCTTTTCATAGCACCCTAGGGATTTCCAGCCCACCTAATGGACCGCAAGGTTTAAAGATTAAAAAGCAGTTGTTTGTAAGTTGAAGGGTTGGGGGTGGCATGAATATCTGAAATTAGAAAACCTTTTTTGGCTTTTTCCATAATTAGAAAGATAGCCAAACACTTTTATTTTGTTTTATAATAAAAAGTGAGATTTTAAAAGTGAGTGGCAAGTGTCAGCCATGGGTAAATTCTTATGGCTGAGTTATAAACCCCAAAACATGTTTATAATGGAAATGTTGACACAGCCTTGACTGTAGCTAGCTACTACTCCTAGCATACTGCATGTAAACCTCTTCAGTTTAAAATCCAGGTAGAGACTGGTATTGTCCTGTACATTTCAAAGCCAGTGTGAGATGTTAACTTTCTTCTCTCTCTTAGACTGCAACAAGTTTCAAAATGTACATTGAAAACTGGAACATTCAGACAGCTGCCTGGCTAAAGCGGTAAGAACAGTAAAACAGTCAATTGCTGGTGAGACCCAGTTACTTTTAGGTGGTAATGTTGGCTAGTAATTCTAACTGGTGAATCTGATAAATACACAACAGCCTCTCGGTCTCTTTCATTTCTCCCTGTGTCTGTAAGAACTTGTGTGCGACTATGTTTTTGGTGCTCTGAAGTTTTTATTGCTACATGTTTGGAATGACCGCATTTACTCATGAGCAGCGAAGCCGTGAGTGAGCTATACAGGTCTTCCTAAATAACCAAAATACAAGAGTTTATATAATGTTTGTCCTAACTGTATTTTGTGTAAAAATATAGATCTGAAAAATCTGTTTCTATTGTTCTTCGTGAGTGAAGTAAACATAATGTTTTTGAGTAAATAAACTACCATGATCTTTTCTTAGGACCATTGCATTTTGAGTTAAAACTCAGATGTTGCAAGATTCTTAGGGTCCTGTTGCTGTGTTTCTGAATACGCACACGGAACCATTCACCTTTGTCTTCCTTAGCTGCTAATGTAAATCAGCATAGGTCCATTGATTTACATTAGCTAAGGAACTGGCTGGCTGTGATGTAGAGTACGGGCAGTGGCTGTATAGTATTCTGCCTAAAGAATATTGAAATAGAAAAGGAAGTGTGGGTATGTCGCTTTCATCCTCCCACCCACTCTTGAATATCCGTCAAGTTTCTCAGGATAAATACAGAGTTCCAGATGGGAAAATGCTGGCATGGTAAATGAGAACCCGCCTTATGCCAAATTATATATAGAGAGGGCATAAATAATATGGCATACGGTAGGTTCTCATTTACCATGCCTATATACATAGGTTTAAATTCCATGATAATTAATTAAGTCATGAGAGAATGCCTTACTCATGCAAGTAATTCAACTGACCCTCACGTAAATGAAGGTTTGTAGGACTGGGCCCCTGATACATAAAGGAGATCAGAATGGGATCTTTAAGATTCAAGGAGATCTGCAGTGCAATGAATATTTGTTACTTGTTCAATCTGCTGTTTTCTGTTTGTTTCATTTCTTCCCAGTGTTTGCTATGACAGGGCTCCATGGTACCCCACAGCCTTAACATTTATCCTGTCAGCCCTGTGGCATGGTATCTATCCTGGATATTACTTTACATTCGTTACCGGAATCCTTATGACATTAGCATCCAGAGCAGTACGTAACCTTTATTGTTTTCTTCAGAGACTTATATTAGATTACTGTAAAGCTTTCAGTGCTAGGTGTTTATGTACCCTTTGACATACTGAACCATTTTCATCCCTGGCATAATGCTGTTGACTGTACACGAGGGGATGAATCCACGTAATACCTTTTTCTTTTGAGATGATCCTCACTGAAACGTTGATCTGCACTGCAATAATTGTAGGTGCTTCCTATAATTACAACCAGCCATTGCTCTTATTGATTCAGCATAGCAGGTACTGTGACGCTGGACTTGGCAACAGTCATAGAGGGAGAGGTGAGGGGCCGTGCAAAATACTAGTGGTCCGTCATACACGTTGCACATAGGTTCATTTGTCTCATAATTGACCTGGTCAGGTAGAAAGAGCCTCCATCTCATCTGTGTATTGTGATAATTCTGTGTAAAGTACAGACCTCATAGATTGGATTGAGCCAACAGTTGGTTTCAGGCTGTATAGGCATGTCTTTGTAGACCACACCAGTTTCTACAGAATATGTACTTTCATTTTTAACAAAAGAAAAGCTTCTGCCCTTTATGGTTGCAAAAAAAGAATTCTGAATGGGACCCCAGTGCATCTAAATCTGAAGATAGATCACACAAAATAGTATGTCTGAGAACTTTGAACTGGCTTCATTCTTTGCAGCAGAGTATTAACTTTGGATCCTAATGATGACAATTTAATTTCCCAGCATTAGTAACTATATCCGTGCTGGTCATTCTAGTGGAAACATCCACTGTGAAGAGATTGGAGAGCACCATCACTTTTACCCATAGTCTGACCTTGGGTATATATCCATATCAGTTTGACAAGTGAACAAAGCTGGAAATCAATAATAGTTACCATAATACTGTACCACAATAATATTTTGCATTTAATTTGCCCCTTCCCTATGAGGATGCATTCCACAGATTAAAACAAATAATCCACCCCCCAAAACATCAAAAAAAGAAACCCAACCCTGCAAATAAACCAACATCTGTAGAAATCCAAAATGCTTGCAGACATAATCAGCTGCTAGAGAGTGTAACTCCTCTCTCTGTTGTACATTTTATAAGCAGTGGCCTGATTCATCCGAAAAGAACAAAATTGCCCATAGATGCCCATACGAGAGAAAGCCTAGTCCCCTGGTTATAGAACACAGGAGATCTGGGATGTATTCCCAGTTCTATCACTGACCTGCTGTGGGACCTTGGGCATGTCATTTGGCATTTGCGGGCCTCCATTTCCTCTCCCACTTTTATTCTGGCCTGTCTATCCAAACCGTAAACTCTTTGGAGCATAAGTATGTGATATGTTGAGGCCTCTAGGTATTACTGTAATACAAATAATAATGGATGAGGAGTTTAATAGATGTGAAGTGAGTCTGCATGTGTTTACTAAGAAATTTTGGTGTTTTTTTTTAATCCCCTTCTCCCTGATTTGTAGATAAGGAACAATTACAGACATTACTTCCTCTCTTCAAAGCCACTCAAGGTGATCTATGACATTGTCACGTGGTTTGTCACTCAACTGGCTGTCTGCTATACTGTTGCACCTTTTGTTATGCTGGCTGTTGAGCCCACAATTAAGTTATACAAGTAAGTTTCCCCCTTTTAACTCTTAAACTTGTATACCTTAGACCTGTAACCACTGGGCTTTGTTTAATAAGCCAACCTGTGATGGAAGCTGATTAGAATTTTGCCATCATTTAGAGGGAATCCAAGCAGGTTACTGAATAACATGAGTAGTGATTTCATCTGTATAACTTGATGAATTCATTTCACCATGCTAGAATAATTTTCCTTTTCTTTCTCAGTTTAGTTTAGTGGGTTTTTTTATTCTTGTTTGACCTGACTTTCCATGTGTCTGCTGCTGCCCTGTTCAAAGCCTCCCAGTGCCAATTATTAACAAGACCAGAGGATGGGGTGGGTAGGAATAAAATTAATCTTATATTTGGGAAATGTCTAGGTGAGAAAACAACTAACTTCCAGTTGTAAAATGCTCATGAGAAGGGATTCTGAATTGACCAGCAGGAGATAAAGAAGATACACAGCTGATTCATTGTGTATTAAAATCATTTTTTGCTTTGCACTCTTATTTTATATGCAGTTACTTCTGTATTTTAAAAATGAGGTAAAGGGAGATGAAGATTATATATAGTGAAGCATAAAATGAGTTGAAAAGAAAGACTTGACTAAATTACTTTACTTTTCTTCCATTTTTTGGTAAACCTTGTCAAACACAGAATAACAGTTTTTGGCTGAAAAAAGAGACATTCCATTACTTTGTCATAAAAGACTGAAAACTGTTAGTCAAAAGAGCAGCTGTGCATGAGTCTGTTTGAGGGATTTTGAATGCTGTCCTTTAAAAAAAAAAATTAAAATGTTTAGCTAAGTTTTCTCCGTACTTAAACACAACTATTAAAATGCCAACACCAATCTGAAGCTTGTATCAGTGTTGGCAAGATTCATTCCCGGCTACTATTTTAATATCTCATTGTTCTGTCTTTAGCAACAGCAACAAATAAAAAAAGATAAGGGCTATCTCAGTGTAAAAATATTGAATGTGACAAACTCATGGACACTTATGAATTTGCTCAAAGGGCAAAATTTTGCCCTTTTTGCCACCAAAGGTCATTTGAGGTAACAAAATACCAACGTCTTAACCTAAGTTCCATTAATAAATACTTGTAAAGAGATTGCTGTTTCTATGCCAATACCTGTGAAGGAAAAACTGTCAGTTTAAGTTTAGCACAGCTGCGACCATAGATGGTACCTACACATTTCTGTGTGTTTCACTGACTCAGCACAAGAAGGTAATGTATGAATTGATGGGATTTTCAAACAAGGCGACTGAGCTAAGTGCAAGGTGAGTGTGTGCCTTTTGGAGTAGGACATTGTGGACATGTCTGTGGGTTCAGGCACCTTACAGGGATTTTAGAACTATGAGGGACTATTTTAGAACTATGCTCCATAGCAGGGGCAGGATATGCCTAAGTGGTCAGGTGCTGGACCCATGCACAGCTCCCTGACCTTCCTCAACCCATACTCTGTGGGCCCACCAAAACAGGTGTCCCATTTTCCATTTTAACTAACTGCTCATCCTGAACACTATCAGTTATAGAAATAAATATATGGAAGATGTTTTTATTTTATTTAACATTGTGTCATTCTCTCTCTAATTATGATGTCTTTTATTATGATTATTATATTTTATTAATGATCAACAAACCTAAAAAATGTTCAGAGTTTTAACTCATTTCAGATAAGCAACCAAAAGTTTGGCTGGAAGCTCTTCTGTCCTTCAGTTGCTGGTGCCATTTTTTCAGGCACAAGCTGTGCTTGCTCAAAAAGGAGGCTTTCTGAAAATGTATCCCTGTATATTCTTTAACAGTGGGAGATAGGCTGAGAAGGCCATGTTTGGGTTTCTCAAACCATAATCATGGGTAGTTCACCTCTGAGTCCATTTCACCTGAATTGTCAAAGTTTGGGGCTAGGAATTTGGAAAAGGGTTCTGGGTTTGACCCCTTGTCTAGTAACAATATATGGGAAAATACTGGCCCTGTTGAAATCAATGCAAAACTTCCATTGACTTCAGTGGGTTTGGATGTCGCCATAGTATAAAGTAACATACTGCTGTAAAATCCAAAGGCATAAAAGCCTGTCATATATAAGACACTATCAGGTGCTCTGTTTTATGTCTAAACCTCTTGAATCTGATGGAGCTGGTTGTAGTGCTGAACTAATACAATTTGCAGCATTCATATGTTACTAACAAGCATGTTTTCTCTTTCTCTTTTCGTTTCTAGGTCAATGTACTTTCACATGCACATTCTAAGCCTCCTGCTGCTGCTGGTCCTACCAATCAAACCTCGAGACCACACCCTGAGGCAGCTTCAGAAACAAGTCACACACAACTCTGTTAAAAACAAGAAAGAAAAATGATACCTCAAAGAAAAACCACTGATATTGGGAAGTGAAGTGTCATACCAAAAACAAAAGGGAGAAAATAAAAAGACAATGGGATTGTTATTGCTTAATTTAAAACGCTTTGGAAAGGACAGACTGGAGCTTGGTTGACTGTATTCCAGATGACCCAGTAACAAAGATTTACAGGCTTGAGGAGCAGTGCTTTTGATTTTATAAATATAGGGACTATTTTTATATATTTAATTTTTTCACATGTACAGATGTTTTTGATCTTTTACAGAAATGTACATTTGATAAACACAAATTTTGAGATTAAGAAAATAATCATTAAAAAAAAAACCTAGCAAGAGTCAGATCAGCAGCTTAGCAGACTGGTGCTCTAGGCTGCGGAGTCTTTGGCTTCCTATCCTGGCTATGGCCGGAGGGGCTCTGGGGTGTAGAGCCACAGAATCTTGGCTCCTGAGACTGTTGGCATTGACTCCAGCAGGAGGAGGAGGGCCACAGCGCAGGCTGCAAGTGCTTCCCATGTGGTTGTGAAGCAGGGACCTGCTGCCTGAGTTCAGCAGCTTGGAGACTCCTAATCGCTCTCAGTGACACCTGCTGGTGTGAGGGCAAATTAGTCACTTGGAAATCATTCACGTAGATTTCTGTGAACATCAGCCACTGGATTGGCCAAACTTATATATATATATATACATAAAAGGAAAAATCAGAATATCCTATGATATGCAGATTAAAACTTCTCTAGCTGAGGCTACGTCTACATTACAAGTGCTCCAGTGGCCCAGCTACAGCACTGCAGCTAACCCTCTACAGCGACTGAAGGGGTTTTTCCATTGCTGTGGTGAATGCATCCCCTTGAGAGGCAGTAGCTAGGTTGACAGAAGAATTCTGCTGTCAACATAGTGGTGTCTACACCAGGGCTTAAGTCATTTTAACTACATCTCTCAAGGGTGTGGATTTTTCACACCCTTGAGTGACATAGTTAGGTTGACCTAAGTTTTAGGTTTAGACCAGGCCTGAGAGACAGAGATAATTGGGATGTGGCTGATGTTCAGCACTGCCCTGCAGCTTTGGAGTGATATGTTTTGACGTGATACTTTTATGATCAATATAATGTAGCAATAGGGAAACCTTGCAGATTTAGTGCTTTAAAACAGTCAGTCACAGATCAAAAGCTGGAGGAAGGGTTGGGAATAGATCAACTTGTTCCTCATAATATTATGTATTGGCAAATAGGAATTTTGTTCACACAAGGATAACAATCCATTAAAAATAAAATTAAAAGAGTACTATACAAGAGAAGGGTTGTGATATGATTAAGGGACTGAGAATCAGCAGCTCTGCTTCTGACTCACTGCGTGATCTTGGGAAAGTCACTTAACCTTTCTATGTTTCAGTTTCCTCATCTGTAAAATGGGGATAATAATACTTACCTACCTCGCAGGAGTGTTGTGAGGTTACATTAATGTTTACACAGCGCTTTGAGAGAACAGGATGAAAAGTGCTATGTAAGTTTAAAAACTAAATATAGTCAGAGAGGACCTCTTAAAGGAACACATGAAAACGTGCACCAAATAATTCTGTATATATCTTTAAATGTTTTCTAAGTTGGTTTTCTCAGAATCATTTAGAAATGAAGCAGTTCCCTTACATACCATTGATTTTCCTCATCTGTCTGAAGTGTAAGTGAACAAAGAGTCTACCACATTTATTTTATTTTAATTTTTGTATCAGAACAAATTCAAATTCTGCAGAATCCTTACTATGGGGAGAAAAACGTAAGAAATCAAAACTGAAGGATGTAAACAGTTTCACTTTATTTTTCTTGACGGACTGATTTTGCTTTTCTCCCCTGCACCAACGTCCTACCCTCCCTCTT